CTAAAGAAGAAGAAAAATAAAAGATGAACTGCGGATACCCCTCAGACGGCAGAGGCAATAGCGTCCCTCTCCCCCTCTGCTGCTCCAGCTGCCGTGTTGGGCTCTGCTTCTGCTGCTGCATCCGTAGCTCCCACAGTGGCATCTTCCTCCGCAGGTGGCTGCACCTGCTCCTCCTCCGGCAGTGGCTCTTCCACGTATTCATTTTCAAATGCATCTGCTGGAACCTCATAGATCCTGACCTGCGGCTTGACCGGGTCCTTCACAAGCACATACTTCCCCTCGTTGAGCTTCATGCAGAGGTCCACGATCGACTTCACAATCCCCCACATGTTAGAGGTATTGAGATTGATCTGGGTTGCAAAGTCCTTGGGCTTGTACCCGATCACGCTCAAAATAACATGGTTGAAGTGGTCTCGGGGATGGACCCTTGAGACATACCCCAGCTTCATCAAATCAACACCACCAAGGAGGGCTTGAGCCGTCCACTTCGCGAGCTTGTTGGCATTGTTCTTTAGCTCGGTAGCGAGAACTGCTCCCCTCTGTGTCTCAAGTTTCTGCCTCCAGTCAACCCCTGAGAACTTGGGGTCAAACTCGTTGAGAGCGTTCAGGGTCATGAAGGCTCGCTGTCCCTTCACGTCGGTCACGCTATGCACCTCACAGCGAGCGATGATATGAGTGTCTTCGTCGAGCTTCCAGCGTCGGTACCGGTATGCAACGGAGGCAACTTCCTCGCCTTCGGAAGCAAAGGGGTTGGGTTCATCGAAGGTAACCTTGTTTCCGTCACGCACAAGCACCTGCTGGGAGAAGTTCTGGTTGATGTACGTGGCCTCGACGGCGAGGGAGTATGCTGAGTTGATGTCCTCCTTGGCATCAGGGAGGAGCTCCTGCGAGGTCTCATGGACGGAGAGGAGGTCGAGCTGAGACCTGTCGCGCTTGTCGAAGAAGAGCTTGTTACCGACACGCTGGATGACAATGTCCCAGGAGTACACAGACCGTGGGGCGCACATGAGCGCGGAAAGGATGGCATCGGTGGCGAACACAGTGGCCTTGTCATCGGCGGCGAGGCGGCGGATGACAGGGTCGTCGGAGGTGGTGACCTTGAAGAAGTTGCGGGACTTGAAGCGCTCCAGGCGGCGCTCGTTCTTGGGGTTGACGCGGTCGAAGGAGCGGTCGTAAAACTCAAGGGCGCCACAGACGAGGAGGTCCTCGGGCGGGTCAGGGACGGAGAAGGAGAGCTTGGAGAAGGTGGAAAAGGGGATCTGGTCGAGCATCGTCCATTCGGGCTGTATGTCGACGGAGGACTTGCGGGCAGGGGCATCGCGGTGGGAGCCAGCGGCGCCGTGACCACCGGCGGAAGCGTAGGAGCGGTGGTTAAGGCGATAGAGACGGTCGCGGCGGGCACGCTCCTTCTCGGCCTCCCGTTTCCGAGCCTCGACCTCCTCGTCGCGGCGCTGCGGCAGCTGCGGGCGCTGCTGGAAGCGCCAGCGAGGGCCGAACTTGGGTCGCGGAGGGGGCTTACCATCGACAAGGCGGAAGGAAGAATCGTCAGCAGCAGCGCCAGAGAGGGCGGAGGACTCGTCAAGGGCGAAGTCGAAGACGGCGTCGCGGCCTCCAGCAGACCGGGCAGCGTTGTTGCCGAAATTAGGATTGCGAGTCCAGTCGGCAACGCGTCCAAGCTTCTCGGATCGGGAGAAGGGGGCGAAGGGGATGTTGGCCGGCTGGGTGGATCCCCCGTCGTTCCTGGAGAGGAGGAGGGGAGCGGCGGGACTCTCGGGCGGACCCCATCCGTCGAGATTGAAGGGGACAACGCCCACGTCGAAGCCCATCGCCGCTTCGCTGCCACCTCGGCAGGGTTTCAGACAGAGACGACGGCGGCTTCGACGGGGAGGGGACGCCTTCTGTAGGGTTTCAGGTCGGTTTCGGGTTGGAGATCCTTCGTCAGTTTTCGAAGGCTGGCTTTTTGATCCAACGGTCAGGAAACGACGAACGCTGGCAATCATGTGATGATAAAACGGGCCGGACTTTGGCGAAGCGATAACGGGCCCAATCCATTTCTAGCCCCTTATTTATGGAAACCAGCCTCTAAAGATTCCAATGTGGGACTAAAAATTTATCGCCGTCCTCCTCCTCCTTTGGAAACTGAAACCGATACCTTCGTTAAAGATTGCTTCGACATGGACACAATACCTTCACCTTCGTATGGCCTGCGCCAAGTTTGGTGGTCTTCATCTACCATAGGAGGTGCACTTCTCACCATCTCGAGGCCACAGCCACAAACCACTAATTCATTGGGGCTCTCCTTTTGTTCGGTTGCTGTTATCGGAGCAAGGATTTTCCATTGCCTGAGACAGACCACTGCCCTCCTTTGGAGGACAAATGGCCGGCAATTTAATCTCTCTTGATAGCTTCAGGTCCCAAAGATGGCATGCATGGATGCGTGGTGATAGATCTCAGTTGGATATACAAATCTTCGTTGCCAGTGAGTCTTCCCTTATATGCTGTACAACTTTTCTTTTTGTTGGTGGTGGTGGTGGTGGTGTTCTTGAAAAGGACTTTGGTGGCTGAGCATTAAGCTCTCCCACCGTCCACTACCTCTGAGCTTTTAGAAGGTCCATTGCACGTATATGGTGTGGCTTAGCACAGTGCCCAACCGGTTAGGTCATCGGTGGAAGCCACGAGTGTGCATTAGGATCAATAAGTGAGCTTTTATGGATTGCGGAGGCTTCCTTGTAGAATCTGAAATGCTTCATCGAGAGGTGTGAGTTGTGCCCTCTCACAGCAACAGTAGGGAGAGGAAGACAGCAGAACGAAGAAGAAGATAAGTGCAGGTTCCGATGGTTCCTTCCATCTCTTTCATGCTCTTAACCTCAGTTGCTCAAAGCAGCCATTACATGAGACCAGGAAGCGTGCTTGTCGGTGAGAGGGACAGCGAAGAGAGAGAGAGAGAGAGAGAATGAATGGTGCGTCCCTGAGAGGTAATACTCTCTCTTGCATCTGAATCCAATCTCCAAACTTCTCTCGTGTACTTTCTTATGTTATCCACACTTTACATAACATTGATGACAGTAGATCTTTTCTTTCATTTTTTCCCCCCTTTTTTACTAGATTTTGTGTGATGAATCTAATCTTCTTGAAGCGGAGGGGCAGCCGACACCTACTTGTATCCCATGGCCACATTGTTTGTGCTAATTAGCCTCTTGGCTGCCAACTTCACATACGACAACATCACTTCCAATGATTCGAGGGAAAATGGCTAGATGTTTATTTGGCTAAATGGGATGTGAGAGAGTAGTCGACGGAAGTCTAAGGAGCAAGTGCTCGAGCCTTTTTATCCATCATGATTGATGACAATAATAGACTCGCCATCCTTTTATTCTTAGATATAGGAGTTTATAGTTATCTCATGTTCATGATTTTTTCCGACCTCATGGATCGAAATTTACAAAGATGGAGTGTACGTGAACTTAATTGGTATGATATGGTCGCTTGAGATCGGTGGATGTGATAAGATTATAAATCATTAGCTCATGCAGACATCTAATCAATTTATCTATTATATAAAATGATATTGATGAATTCAAATTTTACTACTCGACATTAGAAAAAAGAACTTAATCGGATCATACAAATTGGTATTTATGGTTCGAACTTGAATCGTGGGTAATTTGATTTTCGATGTTAATGATCAACTTATTTATTTTTTATTAAAGATAATGATATGATATTTGATTATTCTCTATCATCTATATATCCACATATCTCTTTTTTCTATTACATATATATTTATATATATATATATTAATATTCTTCATGATGCATATTATTCTATAGTGTGTGGAATAATAAATCAATTTGACTCGAACACTCCAAAAATTATTTTTGATAGTAAAAATATAAATTGATATATTATATCTCATATAACCAATCGTTGAGGGAAAGTATCATTTACATCTTGGTCAGTCATATGATAGTTTGATGTGACTCTAAGATGAAAACATTAAGTTATTGATGTATCATCTATACGAAGATCGAGATCAAAAAATGTTTCATGATCCAATCCTACCCAAATTTGTAACCCTAAATATAAGTTCGAACGAAAGTAGTCAAAAGAAATAAATCCCTCTCATGTATTGAAGATAAACGTTTATATAAAATATTTTATGAGAAAAATAATCTCTAATTGCTTTCAATAATCTCAATTTAACCTCTTACCTTAGACTTATTTTGTAATCTTATTTTGTAATCTTGTCAACACGAATTAATGGGTGGAAGGTGACTTAGATATATTTTTTTCCATCGATGATTAACTAATAATGTATTCATTATTATTTATTAAAATTTTAAAAATAAAAGTTATAATAAAAAAAATATTAGGGGTCTTATATTCCAAATTGAGGCGGTGGGTGTACCAAACACATCTCCATTTATATTGCTTGTTCCTGCGTGGCTTCATCTGCACACGACCTTCGGAGGATAAATCCCACTTTATTCCCGGTCACAGCGTGGACACAGCATCACCATTCATGGCTCGGCAAGTTGTGGCTTGGAAGCCTCTGATAGAGACATTTAATGTGCCATATCTCTCGAGTGGCCAAGAGAGGCACCGACGACGACGACGTCGACGTCGACGCATGCAAATTACAGGAAAGCGAAGAGGAAATAAACAAGTGAAGACGGCTTTCCCCTTTACGTTGTGTGCTGATCCGTAGACTTCCGTGGGATGCCGTTGCCGAGGAGAAATAAGAGCAGCAGGATCTGATACAGTAGGAGTGAAGACGAAGCACGAAGCACGCTGCACGTGGAAAGAAACTTGCGTCACAGGATAACTTATAATTCATCGTGTCGGTTCCGAAAAAGATCATTTACTTTCCTGATTTCTTGCCCTTCTCCTAATAAATAATATGCAGACATTACATGGATGAATTATGATACGGATATTTGACTAACGAGATTGAATTCAAATGATGTATACATATACTATTTGTCTACATTTTTTGTCATCGTGCGTATATTATTATGTTGTTAAGAGAAGATATCATTGATGTATTTGAGAGTCTGATATAATCCGAACTCATATATAAGGTTGTTTGAAATATCTCAAACAATCTTATACATATGAGTTCGGCTTACGTTCGATTGATGTATACATCAGGAGTCGATCAAGAGAAGTTTTTCAATCTGAAGTTTGTAATTCAATGTTCTCGAATATAGATTCAAAAAGGAATATCTTGCATTTAGTTTAAGATATTTTTTTATATCATAAAAGATGAGAAGAAAGTTTGTGATTATCTTATTCGTAATAATGTATGAGAACGAAGCTTATAATTATGAGAATGAATTTGTGATAACTTCCTTATCATAATAGTGGATGAGAATGATTATTAATGAATTAAAAAATTTTATGATATTTTATTTATAATAAATTAAAATAAAAATTGGAATCGTCGGACACGAGGGTGGCATGCAGGTCGTATGTGTTACCTCTGAATACATCCTAATGGCAGTGGTAAAGCTATAGCAGCAGCGGCAACAACAAAGGCCACCGCAGCACGAGGCGTTGGGGGGCCTCTAAGAAAACGACGCATTTAGGAGGCTTCCCTGTCGGCCGATCTCTTTCTCCCTCCGTTCATTGATAGCTTAACCCTTTCGCCTCCAAAACACTTCCTTTCGATCATCTTCTCCCTTCGTTCTTGTAGATGACCACATGACCCGTGTTTGTAGATGAAACAAATGATTCCTCCACACAAAAAGCCACTGCACATAATTGAGGCCAGCCTTCCTGGAGGAGACGGAGCGGCAGCAGCAGCAGCCGCATTTATACCCTCGAAAAGCAGCCTCCTTGATGCTTCCTGATGCATCATTTTGCACTTGTGGTGAGCAGTGACTGTCCTGTAGCTCATAGCTGGAGCACAAGATAAGCAACCACTGGTGGATGCTACAGCATAGCTTCGGGCGATGGGACAAGGACCACACGTTGATGAGACTTCTGGGGACAGATCCTGGGTCATTTTCCCCGAGAGTCGAAGATGATGAGCGGAAGCTAGCCATCGCTCAACTCAGCCATGACTTCATCTTAAACCTCCTTCCTCACCGTCGAGATCTTGATCTTGTTGGCTCGACACAACTGCATCACGAAGTAGAATTCTCTTCCTCCTTCAACCAGTGTATTTAGCAAGTCAAACATTCATTCAGAACCAGCCAAAAAGAAGAAGAAGAAGGAGAAGAAGAAGAAGGTTGGGAGGTAACTTTCAGTAGAATGGTAACAGGTTGCAATCACCAACGTTTCTTCACATAAACGACTATTCTGGGCATATTCTTTTCTTGGAATTTTCTTGCTTGCAGACTTACCTGTGAGGAAAACCCGAGAAGGCATTCTAATTTATAGCTTCCATGAATCTGCACACCATTAATGACACTTCATTATTGAGATCATCATCAACGTTGCTTAAGCTCTCAGCCATCTTTCCACCTAGAATTCTCGACTGCAGTTAAGTGGTAAACCTGAGTTCTTCTGATTCCTTCCTTCAGGTGTTCTCTTGTGACATTCCTGGGGAACTCCATGGCTAACTGGATAAGATCATCATCCCCTGCTTTGACCTACACACCATTGCAGCATTGTCAACTTTATACCAATTCCTATTTTCTTTTAATCAACCAAAAAATTAGTTTTTTTACCATTAAAATATTTATTTTGTATATAAATAAAATAAAATAGACAAAAAGGAAAATTGCAAAGGAGGTCAACCAATCTCATAAGAATCGACAAGATAATAACAAAGTTTGAAGGCTTCAACCATTTCAATTTCCATCCTCTCCTCCTCCCAACGGTAAAAAAAAGGGAGAAAGATTCGAAGTGGCACCAAACTGCGGCCACCAAAAGCCTACGCAGGCACGCAAAGGCACCTCTCATTGTGACGAAAAGACCCTCACGTATTACCCTTAATTACCTAACGTTACGCTACGTTATTGTGTATTTTTGGAAAACAGTTGGGTGCATTATCGTCCTTCAGAAATTATATAGAAACGCTTTAGATGCCCTGCATCGGTAACCATTCTTCTCTTCCTCTCCCATCTCTTCCCTGACCTCACCCATCCCTTCGTCTCTTGCTATCAGAAAACCCTGGGATTAGGTCGTGGTTTTGGGGCTGGTTACTCTGTGCTTGTAGGTTTTTGGAGGAATTGCCGGTCGGTTTCGTGGAGGCGGCGGAGCGACGAGCTTTGGTTTCGGTTTGGAACGTGGAGGGGCCGGATCTTGTGTGGTGGAGTTTTCGGCGGGGCTCCCCGTCTCTGTGATCGTGGCTCTTGTTGCGTTGGGGGGACTGTGAGTGCCTGTGGGATTGGATCCCGTCTCTGTGCGCTTCGGAGCGTCGGCGCGGGACTGCCGGGTTGTGATCCGGAGCGGGGGCAGGTGGGGCAAATGCGGATGATTTCCATAGGGCTCCGTTCCTTTTTGGTTTAGATCTCGTCCGGAGTTTTACGGAGAGTGTGAGGAGAGGAAGGAAGAGGGATCGGTGGAGGTAAAAAAGAGGAGGAAGATAAGAAGAGGAAGTAGTTTTGGATTGTCTCGATAGGCGATTCGGGTGCTAAGCTGTAAAAATGCAGCAAGATCAGCGAAAGAAGGTGGGTTTCTTGATCCGTGCTTTTCCTGTCTGTTCCCTTTTTGTTTGGGTTACGCTATAGATCTGCTGGTTCAGGTCGGTTTTTGCTCTATCCGAGTGCCAAGTTGCTCCCGTTGACCGATGTTCTCCTTTCTCATTGTCTCTTGGCTTCTGCCTTTCTTCTTCTTTATGAAGTATATCTAGTGGTTCCTCGAGTTGCTCCAATTAAGTCAATCGATGACCGGTTGGGTTTGATTCGTGAATAATTCCTTATGCTATGATTTTTCTGAAGTAAACGTTTTGAATGATGACCGGCTGTCAAAGATTTTCTGCACCAAGTCCGGTACCAGGTTCCTGTTTTGAGTTTGTGCATTTCATCTGACACCACTGACGATGGTTCAAAAATCGACTCAATTCTACTTGGAATTGCGTCCAGGTAGTTTCTGTCGGTCATCTCGAGATTCTTCTTCCGTTTCGTTATTTCTTTTCTTCCTGGTTGTACTTTTATCTTTTTTGAACGCACATGCCGATTGAGTTGCTATCGGTGAACTCTAATCCTGAGGATTTTCTCCGATATTTTTGTTTCTATTATTTGTTTGTCATTTTTGTTCTTTCACATCTTCCGTGAAGATAAAATTTTCATTTTTTTGTTGTTGTATCTGCACAAATTACGCGGTGGGCTCTTTTTGGAGTATTTCCCATTTTCTTGATTTCTAGTGGTGATCCAAATTATGTGTGGGCTGTTGTTCTGATGCTGTCATGTTGCTATTTTGAAACATAAAAAATATAACATCATCTGTAGGACTGGAGGAAATAAAATTAATCCTTGATACCAATTGGTGTAATATGTAAGTTGGTGCATAAGACCAATTTGATTCTTGTATCTGGTCCCACATGAAGTTCCCTGTCCTGACTTAATTAGAGAACAAAAGGTATGCATGTAGTACTTATATGGATGTATTTGTATTTTAAGTATGCAAATTTTGTTTTAGTATATACAGAAAGGTAACTGGTGTTACGCAACTCATCATCTTAGAAGTCTTTTCAATTTAAACAAACAACAACAACAACAAATCGGTGAGTACCAACGATTTGGGGTTGGCTACATGGATCTTTTGCCACCATTGAGATTTGTAAAACATCATATGTGTAGTTGAGTTTAGAGTATTTAAATATTTGTTTATAGTTTCTATTCCGATATTTTTAGGTCTTCCTTTATCTCTTCTATTGCCACTAACATTAATCATATCGCTCCTTCTAACTACCACATCCAAATTATTGATTTGTTTTCTTGCAAGATATAACATTTTTCCATTTTTCATCTATCAAATTTTACATTGAAATTTGAAGTGACAGATTACTGGAGCATATAGGCACATGAATGTCTCAAATTGTCAGCCATGATATATAGTGGGTTCTATTATCTTTTTTACTTTTCAAAGAGATAATTAACTGAATATTGAAGGACTTGATGATCCAGCAACAAGATGCCAGTATTGTATTTTTCTCAATCATGAATTAGTGCATTTGCAGAACTGAAACAAGTTGCTATCTTGAACTGTTATTGCATTTTATTGTCTTCTGCAGAATTCACCAGATTTGGACTTTTTCAGCGAGTATGGGGATGCCAATAGATACAAAATTCAGGAGGTTATAGGCAAAGGTAGCTATGGGGTGGTCTGTTCAGCAATTGATACACATACTGGAGAGAAGGTGGCGATCAAGAAGATACATGATATTTTCGAACACATCTCCGATGCTGTCAGAATCCTTCGTGAGATCAAGCTTCTTCGTCTTTTAAGACATCCTGATATAGTGGAGATTAAGCACATCATGTTGCCTCCATCAAGGAAGGATTTCAAAGATATTTATGTTGTTTTTGAGCTCATGGAGTCAGATCTTCACCAAGTCATCAAGGCAAACGATGATCTAACAAGAGAACATTATCAGTTTTTTCTTTATCAGCTGCTTCGTGCACTAAAATATATTCACACAGGTAATATATTGTTATTTAAAGATTTATGCAGCTATGGATTAATATGGCTAATGTAACTTTTGATTATTGTTCTTTTTCTTTTAGTTTTCACTTCTAATACGAGTGCATCCGTTAAAAACTACTCATTGACAGTCTTCGACTTATTGACAATCTCTGCCTTTGTTTCTCTTGAACTTATCTATGTTCCTTTAGGGTTTTGCATCCAGAAAAGCTTGCTTTGGTTTTCGTTCTACTCAAAATGTAAGAGCTGGGGGGCTGCATTCAGGTTGAGGTTCATTTGTTGGGGAATAGCATTTGAAATTTCATAATCTTCACAATTGTGCTATATCCTTGTCTTCTTTTCATGTAACATCAAATAGAAACAGCATGGCCAAAGATGTATAGCGGGAACTGGAACCTTGAATTGGCTATACAATCATTAACGCCCATATAATGTGGCATTAGTTGATTCACGTAATGTTAGGCTTATAATTTCATGATCTGGATCATCTTAAGTAATGGGAATTTTGTTATTTTTGTTATATTTTCAACTTCGTGTGATTGGAAACATTTAGAGTCGAGAGTTTTCATGTTTGTATAGTTTTGTGGTTGTCTTATATCATTCTTTCATATGCTTGAAATGTGCAGTAAGTTTCAGTCTCTTTTATCATGGCCAAAATTATGGTTGTAAACATATTTAAATCAATATTTCAAATGTTTTCACTTGATCAGTGCATTGAATGACTTCTATGACTTGTTTGTTTTATCTGTGATTATTACTATTTTCTCTTTTGGTTATGATGATAATTCCACTAGGTGCCAAATGCTGAGTAATCTTTAAGAATAACATTTTCGTGTCCAATTTGTTTCATGTGCAGCTAATGTGTATCATCGTGATTTAAAGCCAAAAAACATACTAGCAAATGCAAACTGCAAGCTAAAAATTTGTGATTTTGGACTGGCAAGAGTTGCATTTAGCGACACGCCCACAACAATATTTTGGACGGTACGTTAGTTGGAGGTTTCCTTTTCCTTCATATTCAATTTATTGCTTGTTATTATGTTTTGGTCTAGTGGTATATTTGATTGTTGTTTTATCATCTAAGAAGCAATGACTACACTCTTTTAACCTTCTAGAGCACTAACTTTTAACAGGATTATGTTGCAACCAGATGGTATAGGGCTCCTGAGTTATGTGGATCATTCTTTTCCAAGGTATAAGCATATTGCTTCATGATCTTTAAATGTTTTTATCTTATGAAATATTTCAATACTATGCCTGGTGCCTAAAGCACAATGCCAACACAAGCTTCAATCATACAACTATTCTCATATATTAAACACTGTTAAAAGAACATGACCATGCTGGATCAGCCGATCAGGCAATATGATAGACCTGTTATTTTGTACTGCAGACCTAATTTGCTACCATGTTATGTATGCATCTGGGCTTGGGTTCATGTTCTTGATCTGTAACTTGTTCTTCACTTCTTTGTTTCAATTATAACAACCAGTCAAAAAAATCTTTCCCTACTGGAAGCTATTAGCAGAGTTTTATTGCTATTGAATGATCTCTCATCTGAGTTGTTTTGTTGAATTTATGAATTAATAAACAAATTAAATAAACTGTGGAAAGCTTTAGTTCTTGCACCTAATTCAAGATGCACAAAACTGGTGCAGTTACCAATCAGAGTGACGTATGAATCTTCCTCAAATTCCAATACATCTTTCTGTGCTTGATCAGGATGTTGTAATATGATTCCTTTGTTGAAAATTATTATGTAAAGCACTATTTGAACTTTAAAAAGACATTCTTATATAGCATATATCAGCATTTCCATTTTCATGCCCATCAAGTCTTGTGGGGCTTGCACTTATAGCAAGGGGGATATGGAGCCTCAGAATGTTGGCATACCAGTAGTGATGATTTTTTGTTTGTTAGTATGTGATCAACTATGTGATCTGTTGGAGATCTATAGTTATTGATTTAGTTGATGATTTATTGTCGGTAACTCTTAAAAACATTTTACAATTGGAATAGTTGTAGCTGCTATTCTTGATAAACTTCTGAAGGATATAATAGTTCCATACATTAAAAATAATGCATGTTCAGGAAGGATTTTGAACTCCCTGCAAGCTGAAATATCACTAATAACAGGTACTAGTATCGAGTTGTTCGTATGTTTTACTCTCTAGTTTTGAACTGTGAAATTTTGCTAAAAACTATATTGACTGGTTGTTCTGAAATTGCAGTATACCACTGCTATCGATATTTGGAGCATTGGTTGCATTTTTGCTGAGGTATTGACAGGCAAGCCTCTTTTTCCTGGTAAAAATGTAGTTCATCAGTTGGATTTGATGACTGATCTTCTGGGGACACCTTCCTTAGATACAATTTCTCGGGTATGATAGTTGTGTCAAAACTTTATGTTTGAAGGTGCCATTGTTTTGAAATCACTGAAAATATCATTTTCCTTCTTTTCTGATTCCAGGTCCGGAATGAGAAGGCAAGGAAGTACTTGAGCAACATGAGAAAAAAACTGTCTGTGCCATTTTCACAGAAGTTCCCAAATGCAGATCCTCTGGCATTGAAACTTCTAGAGAGGCTTTTAGCATTTGATCCCAAGGACCGGCCAACAGCTGAAGAGGTATCCATGTCCAACTAGATTCATGCAATAATTTGCTTCTGTCCTCATGATTTTTTGTTTTCTAAATTTTAGTAGTATCACATGAGGTTTAGTGTTATAGTATCTCATATTCTTTATCACTCTATTTATCAAATGATGATTCCAAATTTATCCATATACCAGGCATTGGCTGATCCATATTTCAAAGGCCTTGCCAAGGTAGAGAGAGAACCATCTTGCCAACCAATAACAAAGATGGAATTTGAGTTTGAGCGCCGAAGGTTGACTAAAGAGGACATACGGGAACTTATCTTCCGTGAGATTTTGGAGTATCATCCCCAGTTGCTCAAAGACTACATGAATGGAACCCAAAGTGCAAATTTCCTATATCCTAGGTTCTATATTTCAGATCCCTTTGCCCTTCAGTATCTACTCATAAATAAATGCCTGACAATCTCACTCTTGGTAATTTTTTCCTGCTTTCCGTGTATGCAGTGCTGTCGATCAGTTTAGAAAGCAATTTGCTTACCTTGAGGAGAATGGTGGTAAAAGTGGGCCTGTAATTCCATTAGACAGGAAGCATGTTTCTCTTCCTAGGTACTTTTTCATGGTAGTCTGATTTTGAATGTTATTCCTTTGATTTTTCATGTATGCAGGTATGCAGTACCGATTGGGACCGCCCGGTACGGGTGGTACGTACCGGTCCGATGCCATACCGGTATGTGGACCGCCGGTACCGCTATAGTGCTACAGTATTACATTGTAGCAGTGCTACAGTGCTATAGTAATGAAGAAAATATATAAAATTATTCGGTACACCTTGGTGTATCGTTCGGTATGTCTTAGTGTACCGCTCGGTACACCGGTACCGTACCGTACCGAGCCAACCTCGAAACACCGGTACGGTACGGTATTACATACCTTGACGCAGATAATGTTCAAGATTTACAAGGATAAAATCTATTCGAGAGATTGGTTAATGTGCTAAGTTCTTCTTAGTTGCAGATTAAACCCAGTTCTTATACATTTAAGCACTCCTTGCTCTCCCTCATGGTTAACTTTTCAATTTCTTTTTCAAAATTAGTTCTCCTCCCCCGCGAACTTGTAGATATCTTCTCGTACACTAAAGGAAAATGTAGTAGGCATTATGTTCCTTCTCGTTCCTATTTGTTCGCCCTCATGAGTGTTATACATGTTTAGCATTCCTGCCATGCTTATCAGTTATGGAGTGTGGTAACACGATATTTCTTGAATCTGGAAACAATAGGAACTGCCATGAATCAATATTGTTTCTCATAATAGTCTTTGAAAATTTACTTGAAGCTGGAAACAGCAGGCATTAAAATATCAAACTCTTTACAAGCATGCTATCCATCATGCATTTTAGAAGGTAATTGAAACTAGCATATATCTTTTTGCTTTTCAAGAATAGAAATTAACTGAAACAGAAACGAAATTCTTTTAAGCGATTGCATTTGTTTTGTCTCTTCCATCTTCTCACCCGTTTATTTCATGAAAGTCTGGATTGGTCAACATTTTCGTCATTTAGAATCGCCAATTTGTGTTGAATATTCTTGTCACATTTCCTCTGAATTTAAATTTCTTTTGGGATCTTTCTCATAGATTTATTTGCCTCCTGGTAGGTCCACGGTGGTCCACTCTGCTACTATCCCCCCAATGGAACAACCGAACATGGGTCCTTCAAGAGATAAGCAAGGCACGGTTGAAGCGTGTAAGAACCCTCGTGACAATGAAAGGTCATCTGGAAGCATCGCAAAAGCTTCACAGGCACAAAGGATTCCAACTGGTAATTCCTTAGATCCAAAATGGCCACCGTTGGTAATGATGCTGTTGCACACTTACAGTCTTGTATCATGCTCTGTTTTCCAGCTAGACCAGGAAAAGTTGTTGGTCCGGTGGTGCCGTACGATATTGGAAGTATGAAGGATGCCTATGATCCCAGACGATTCATCAGGAATCCTGTTCTTCCACTGCAATCCGCCATTCCGCCATTTTGTTTTCATGGTCCTGCAGGCAAGTTGGGGAGCTCCAACGGAGACCCCGTGGAGGCAGAAGGCGAATCTGTACAGCACAAGCCACCCCCCCATCCATGCATACCCAGCAAGATGGCACCAGACATAGCCCTTGACATGAGAGCTTCCCCCTTCAATGGGATCGTCGCAGCAGCTACTGCTGGTGGTCACAGAAAAGTCGGCACCATTCAGTTTGGCATGACCAGAATGTATTAAGCGCTGAGCACCGATAAACATGCCATCTCAGATGGGCAAGGACGATGACGCTCACTAACATTCGCTGCAAATGCTAAGGGCGGCCAACGACAAGGCAGAAGAGAAAGGAGAAGATTACTGACGAGGCACGAGGGAAGGAAGACGCAACTTCGTACTCGCAATGTGCATTGCTTGCTGTAGATGATGAATACACTTCAAAGGACAATGTAAGCATAGCTCTGGTGAAACTGTTCATCTTCGCCTCCTGTTAGAAAAATTGTTTCTGATCCAACTTCATGTTCTTTTTCCTACGCCTGCCTGTACATATTCACGAGTGCTTGCAAAATCTTACTGAATGATGAATTGATGCATGGATAACGATATTGATTGTAGAATAAAGCTTTAAAAAGGTTAAAAATTAATGCAATCCAATAAAAAAGAATCACAGTGGGTGCTGATGGTTTTGTCATGGCATGATAAATGATGGTTGTCCAAAGCTTGTCTATACCTTCTTTCATCCCATGTAACGTCTTCTTTAATGGCTCCCCTCTCGAATATGACTTTGAAGGAAACCTCTACATATTAAGTTTCTTAAACATCTCTCTCTCTCTCTCTCTCTCTCTCTCTCTGTGGTGAGAGTTCATCCATGACCAGCATAAGTGTGCAAGGATTTAACTTGTACTGATCAAATATGTTTATGAGCAAAACACAACACAATCTTTGCATCAAAAAGAAGAAGAAAAAGGTTTTAGCTCCATCACTGGAACAAAGAGAAAAGAAGAAAGATGGTGGATTTGGTGATGCCTTTGGATAGAGGAGTCGGTTGGCAAGAGGGCTAATCTTGTCGTGGAAATAGCATCGCCTTTCCGGTACGCAGCAGCCCGCCGGCCTTCATGACCGTGGCTGCAATCCCTTCTTTCTTACGTCTGCACAAAAGAAGGGTCGATTCCTTTTGTGAATGAGCACGGCTCTCGTGCATATCATCATCTTTTAAGATCATTTAAATGGCCTAATCTTTCTTCTCTAATCGCTACATCGTATGAGAAAGAATAATACACACACTAACTTAGTAGATTAATTATCTCATCTCATAAATTAAGTCAAGTAGGGAGACTATGATTAGTTTTTGAGCTCAAGTAAGTAAGGTCCATATTTCCCGGAATCCATTTCATTTGACTCCCTTAGATCCTGGGAATCATCCATCTCACAAACCACCACCTCCACCGTCCTCACATTATTCCTAAACCCTAAAACAAGGAATACTACGTAGCAGCATTAGCAAAGTGTTGTCATCATTTTCACCATCCTCACTTTATGAACATCGAAGAATACTATCATCATCAAAAGTCAAGCACAAATATCATACGATAGCCATTATTTACTTAGTAATGGAGCGTACCAATTCATGGAGTACGTCGGTAGCAAATTCACAAACAGAAAACGAATGGAGAAGTTGTAGAAAATGCTTTCCACTCATTCCACCTCACTTCACAGAAGGATTCCTCATCATGGTAAAAATCTATAAGCTTTTAAGCTTAGTATCATCGGAGTGAAGGATATGATTACATATACCGAACAAACAAAGAGGATGAGCATCGCAGAGAGAGTGACATTGCCCACTGTCCTCTTGGATCATAAAGAAGGCATGGAGGCATAGAGGGATTGCGTTGTACTTGCATCTCTCCAAATTCTCCGCCCCCCCCCTTCAATAACGACTCACCCTTTCTGCATTAACTCCAGCTACCAATCTAGAGCAAGACCAGCCATGATAAGCCCTAGTCCTTCCCCCCTCCATTCCCCTCACTCCCCCATTTAAGATAGCGGGACCAAAACCTTGGATTTCTCATGCCACAATCCTTGTCCTCCCCCCACCGCCATCCCCGAGCCTACCACTCTCGGCATTCAATGCCCATCTCCGATCCCTTGACCTCCTTCCATGGAGATTTGACTTCCGGCAGCAACGACAACTGCTCTCCACATGGAGTTATCATATCTCTATGTCGTAGATTACACAGCGTTCTTATACTTGGCTACACGTACAAGGAAGAGCGGCAGAGGTACGGAGCTTCTCAGCGTTGGCTACCGTGGGTGAAAGAGGGCACGATGTCTTGCAGGAGGCCATGGTCGGGGACGTGAAGCTGAGGCAGAAGAGGTGGGAGGCCTGCATGATACGTGTTAGGGTTTGTGTACCCCGCCGAGCTGCTGCTGCGGGAGACCTGTTGCAGCAGTAGGCTACGGCGAAGGTTCGTCGTCGGCGAGGTTGATAACATGTGCCCGCCGCCGCCGCCGCCGCCGCGAAGGCTCGCAGGACTGTGATGAGTGTGCTGCCCTTCGTAGGTGGTGATCACGGTCGTAGGATCCTGACATGATCTCTCCACCCTCTTCTTCACGTTGCACTTCTGAGCCGTGCAACGGTAGTAGCTTCTGAGGTGGTCGATGCAAAGATTAGTGAGCGCAGAGAGGATGCGTCAATGCATCACCCAAGGGAATGGGAAAAGAAGGTGTGCGATTCGATTAGATAGATGACTCGCCTCGGATAAGGGCTGTTCTTCACTGCCTTCTGGCCGTACTTCCTCCATCGATAGCCATCCTCGAGGTGATCCACCTCGCTCTTGGTCATGAAAGCAAACCGGGGACCCCTTTGTCTCTCGCCTTTCTTCCTCGGCTTGTTCCTGCACCACCATTTCCCAGGAAACATGACCGTCAGAGCTTGTTCCTATCTGAGACTACTTCAGCTTGGATATGTTTTTGTTAGGGAAAGAGAGAGCCCTAGAGCTAGGCTACGAGTTGTGACCCTACAAGAATGTGAATCCAAAGCCAAATCTAACTCGGTCAAAAGAAGAGCACAAAAGATCTAACTTGCGGGCGAACTATTCTTCCGCCACGCACCAAATTAAACGGCATCAAGAACAAGAAAACAAAAGAAAGCAACCAAAGAAATCGAGGAAGGAGTGGTGGAAACCCACGCTTTCTTGGTCTTGTCACGCCCTTCTCCGTCCTGCGGTGCATGCTTCTCCTCTTCCTGCACCTCCTGCTTCGGCTGATCCACCTTGCAGGGCCTCCAGTCCTCGTCGCCGGCAGCCTCAGTCGACGACGAAGACGCCGAGAAGTTGGGCGTCACCGGAGTCATGCCGTCGCCCCCCCCGGCCGCAGCGTTCTTACCGCCATCACCACCCACCACCGGATCGCACGGCTGCGAGCGTGGGGCGTCGAAGCCTTGAACCACCAAGCTGCCGTCCGTCGTCGATCCATGCAGGTAGTCACCGAAGCTCATGAATGGGGGTGCCGTCTGCGGATCGAAACCCTGTAAACCGTCGGGCTTCTGGGAGAAGACCGAGAACAGATCGTCGTGGAAGGGGAAGTCATGGCGGTAAGGCTCGCTACTCTCTCCCGACATCGAGAGAGTAGCTAGGGAGAGAAGGGTGTAGATAAAAGAGTAAGAGAGGATGGCTCGAAAGGGAGGAAGAAAGAGTGCGGCCTCAGTCTTCCTCCTCTTTTCTACGGTTTTCGAGCACCTCTTCTTATCATTTAATTTTAATTTTAATTATATATATATATATATATTTCTTTTTTTAAATGGGAGATTCGGCAAGCACCGGCTACAGTCGGTCACGTGGGTCGGGGGACAGGGAAACGGCGGTCGATCCTTTAACCCTTTGCCCTCCCCTCCGCGAAGGTTCGTTTTGGGGAGGGGGTGAGGAGGGGCACCGGCGTTTGACCATTACATCGGCACGTGGGAGACCGGACTCGTGGATCCCGAAGCTGACGTCCCTGTTGACGTCACTTGCTCCCCTCGCACGTGTGAGTCTCTCGGTGGGAGGCGCGCCATCGTCCCTCCGATCTTGATCGGACGTCGGAGCGCTCCAACTCGCTGCCGCTACGTGTGAACACGGCGTTCACGTGCCCAAAGGTGATCGGCCGACCACAGTGCGTATCTAAAAAAAATAAGTTTCCCTGCTCCGATACCAATCGTGTACCCGCCTCGTTATTAGTTTAGAAACATGGAGCCGACGGCATTGAGGACAGGAGCGGCGGGTAAATCTTGAGGGTAGGTGCAGTCCGGCACTGGATATTTTTTCGACAAGCCGCAAAAAGTGGAGCCGCGTGGGACGTAATTTATGGAGTGGGCCGACGTGAGATGGGGACACGCGAGCTAGTTTAGTCCATCCGAATTGCGACATCGCACCAACAAAATCTTTGATGGATATGTGCTTTGTTCCGCCATTTGTTGGTCCGCTTTACAGCGATCGTGCCGTGAAGCTACTCGTAAAAAATGATCAACGACTTCGTTTTCATGCATACCGACACGTATACTGTGGTTTACAAAGATCGACCGATGTCTACTGAGGTTTGTGCATTAGAGAGAGAGAGAGAGAGAAAGAGAGGCAATGAGACTAGTCGTCTTTGGTGAAACTGAAATGAAGAAAAACCTGAAGTCAAATTTCCGGATCTGAAAAACTACATAAAACAACTGTCAAGCTTCTTCTCGGATGAGGATATGTACTCTTGCCTTTAATATTTCGTAGATCTGACCAAAAAAGTCAACTCAATCCCTTGTCTTCTCTTATACCTTAAAACCATCTGTCTGCCTCTGCACCATTTAGTATTGGAGTCCAGAACAAAGAACACGCAATAACAAAGCAGAAATATAAGAATCTGCCTACTGCCAAGACTCTGCTACCTATGCCTAGGTTTGACTTTGTAGAAGAAAAGGTTAATCTGCCGGTCTGAGATCTCCTCTTACGTATTGTATAATTACTCCCATCCTGTTTCGATATGAATCCCATGACAAGAACCTGTCACCTGCTCCACCGTCGGGAACGCATAGTGCAATGCGTTCGGATAACTCGTCGCTGTTATCTTCCTCTTCCTCAAGATGTCATAGAGTGGGTTTATCTTGTATGTCACATGGACACTACCTGCAGTGCTTTTATACACATAAAGGACAGCGTGGAAATGGAGGAGGAACCTTGAAGTGCATGGGGCGGTTGCTTGAGCTCTACGACTGTCTCCCTCCCTCTTTCTCGCCGCAAAGGAAAAGGTTAGGAGAGATGAGAAAGGGAGAGAGGGTTGCAGTCGCGGGATGCTGACGGCATGGTGTCGGGTGGATTTGGTGTTGGGTGGGGCCGACGACCCCACCGACGGCGAAGAGGCGGAGACGCCTTTTTGCGGCCTGGCGTGCTGCAGCTCGCCGACATGTCCGGGGACCGCCGCTGTTATTTGTCAGAAATCCAACACTGACATGTATATATTGGAAACAGTGGGGGATGGTGGGCAACGACAATTACTGATACAGTATGAGACAAGGAACACTAAACACTAAATACTCTATATTACTCTTATCTTTTTCTTTCTCTTTTTCTATCTCTATCTATAAATGCATTTCATGACAGAGGGATGAACAACTCCAAAGTTCAGAACTAGACCGAGAACTTCTAAATTAACTAAAAACTCTTACATCATTTGCTTAGCTAATCACAAAGCTTGATTTAAGATTCTAACCGTTTTAATGTTAAAGGATTATCTTATATATCAACTTAATCTTTGAAATGAAACAACACTAATCCTCTGATTAGTTTATATTTCCCATGTCAGATTAAGTTTAATCTACCTCCCTCGTATGAGGGAAGTATTAAGATGTATCGTCTTTAAGATTTTAGATAGAACAACACCCATCAAAAATTTAAAATTCAAGTTCATATATATCTCAAAATCAAATTTTACGAACCGTAAGCTAAAAACAAAGATACCTTTTTTTTTTTTTGGTGAAAAGAAAGAAAGCACTGCCAAAGATCCAACAACTTCTACTTTAGGTTGTGTGGAGATGGCTTCCAAATACTTTTCTTGTTGAAATATATAAGCATCTAATCCTATGTTGCTTCTCTCTCTAAAGATCCCACTACCGAGTCTTTTGAGATCTTTGATACGAAAGGAACATTTGTCGCCATGGATTCTGGTCTGTATTGGATGGTCGCCACTATCCCCACTTACCAATCTAGCTTTCAAGATGGAGGAACTGTGGAGGATGGCATTCTACATGGAAATAGTTCATATTGACATTGGGAGACAAATGATATATAAATGACAAGGAAAATGTTATCATGGTCCCCATGCATGCATGCATGTACCAAAACATGTTTCTTGGATACGATTACGTACATTTATATCCATGTATGGATACTAATAATCTTATTCTCATGTTTCATATGTTTTCATGTTTTACCTTGTTGTTTTTCTTTCTAAAAGGACACCATGTAATCCAAAATCCATATGACCTAATGTTACAGTTGGCATACATATCCCAATGGTCAAGCCTCTAAATCTCATTAATTTTCATTTTCTTAATATTATGATTGAGAATTAGATTACCCCACCATCTAAACCTAAGTGAAGACTTTGGCCATGCTCTCTCGCTCTCTCTCTCTCTTGATTTATCTTAGTAGTTGCATCTACAAGCTTGATCGAGAATATGTATTTTTAGTGCACGGACTCGAGAAGATTTGAATTCAAGATCTTCAGCTTTGACACCAAAATTTTTTTGATCATCTATAGTCTTAGTATCAACATATGGGCACCAAAACCCACACTATTTTTTCTAACATTAACATGATAAACCTGAATGAATATTTTGTCCGTGAAATTTTCGATTAATGTCAATATATCTAAAAACTAAGTATTAATGAAATATATTCTTACTGCATGGGCACAGATAAGATTTGAAGACAAGATTTCAACTGTGATGTCATAAAAATTTTGATCAACCCAATTGGCTTCAAAAGCTTTGAGTCAATAGATGATGCAATATCTAACTATTTATATTCTTAACGACTTTAAAATTTATAAACATATTTACACCTTCTATAGTCTTAGGTTGGACATGTGGGCATCATTTTGGGACATCAAGGTTGTCCATCAAACACAACATGGCTCCTTTGATAATGAAAGAGGAGAATAAGATGTCACTCTTTCCATCCATTGGTCAAAGGAGACCCACACTTTCCATTGTAGAAGATTGATGGCATCTTTGAAACAACACCATTGGTGTCATGCTTGAGTTGTTTCTCGCCAGGCTCGTCATATGATTGGAGCGTTTGATCCACCTTTGAAAAGCCAAGTTGACATGCCATCTAAATAACTTCAACAATTTGATGTTGTTCAAGCAAGATTTTGGTGACCACCTACCGAGAAGAAAAATATTCTGGGGCACGCCAATGATGATGATGATGATCGACCATGTAATACCCCATGAGGCCTACCAAGATTTCTTCCCAGTAAGGAGGCCCTCATGACATTGTTTGATAATAAATAATGATAATAACTATTATGGGGAGAGTATCGACGATCGTGAGTCGGTTCGATTTGGTCTAAACCTGAAGGAGCAAGGGCGTCCAAGAAATCCGTATGGCAATCCTACGAGACAGTTGATGGGGCACTGAGGTGTCTGAGATAGTTTTGAGGTGATCTTTGGGTGGTTTTCGAAGGCTTAAGGTGGTCCCGATTTCAGGTCGAGATGAAATCTAACTCCTTTATGAGCTCCTGATGCTAAGTATCAGCTTTATACTTGATCGAGCGAGGGAAACAGGCCTAAACGACTCCATGTTCACTTAGTAAATTGAAAAAGATGTTTGGTACAGGAAAACAAGGATCAAGTTGCTTGGTCGTTACTAGCCAACTAACGGGTTGGGATTAATTGTAGCGATCAACTAACGGGTTGGGATTAATTGTTAAAATGTTTCCTATCAAGAATAAAACAAAAGGTTGATTGGTTATTAATAAAAAAATTCCGATATGTAAATAATACTTAAAATTAACTCGTAAATTGAAAAAGATGTTTGGTACAGGAAAACAAGGATCAAGTTGCCTGGTCGTGTTGGAGATGTTGGACATTGAAGTTACATCATGAGAAGACTAAAAGTGAGGAATATACATAGGTCGACATTCGAAAGAGATTACATGGTTGAGTGCATAAGGGGCATATGTTGAACTCAATTTTGTGCCTATTGTTGAATTTATTCTCACAAAGCATCCTAAGTTGTCGATAAAACATAACATCTTTGGATGTTGATGATGATAGTTTGATGGAGTGTTTGTTCATCAACAAAACTTTTTCTATAGGTGCCATGTCACATGACTTAGACAAATGAACCAAATCCAAAAAGAATAATATGTTTTTTGTTTAAATGATTTCTTTTAATATAAAAAGATCAATTAGCACATGATTGATGTGAGAACACGAACGATTTGGGTCCAAAGAATTAAGGTCGTTACTAGCCAAGAAACTATGTTATCAGTAAGAAGAAAAATAATATTAAAGTTCTAATTTGAAGAGCTAATGATATTTGAATTGGGCAAGAGTGCTATGAGTAAGAACTAGTCTTACACAATCTTTCTAAACAAGAGTGATGATGAAAGGTCTATTCCAGCCGAAACTCTTAGATCTCCATAGAATTATCGTGAAGACTCGATGTTGGAGCAATGTGAAGGGTGTGAAGAATGAGGACAGAGTTGATACTGGAAATGAACGTTGACTGTGATTTGGAATGTCAATTTGGGCCGTGGCCCAATTGGAGATGTTATCGGGTCGAATCCGTTAACGATGCACTATCGAGTAAAGGATGTTTGTACCTTACGTGGCTCCTTATTCCATGTGTCGTCGAGCTCTGGTTCGGCCACGTTGTAATCCTTCCTCATCAAACCTGCAGAAAAATTTCACGTAATTAACGATGTTAAATACAAGCATTTTAGTCGAACTCTTTTACCCGCGGTTCAATTGAATTGGGTCGCACATCGCCTCAACTCGGACCCGACTCGAGTTTAGCGAGAACTGATTTGAGCTCGCATTGGGCTCTATCGGTTTGCCACGCTTGTTGGAGTCTTTTCTTGTGCCCTTCCGTTCATATATATAGGTTTGAGTCAGTTACGGTGTTTGTTACGGGCGATGGAAGAGGGCAGGGGCTATCCGCGACCGATCGGACCAGGCGTGACACGTGTCGGCTGGATCGGCGCCGGGGTCATGGGCGCCGCCATGGCCGCCCGCCTCCGGACCGCCGGCTACGCCGTTGCCATCTACGCCCGCACCCCCTCCAAGGCCGATCACCTCCGCCGCCTCGGCGCCCACCTCGTTCCCTCGCCGGCCGATGCCGCCCGCTCCGCCGACGTGCTGTTCACCATGGTCGGTCACCCGTCCGACGTCCGCGAGGCCCTCCTCGACCCCGCCTCCGGCGCCCTCGCCGCCATCCCGCCCGGCGGCGTCCTCGTAGACTGCACCAGCAGCGACCCGGCCCTCGCGCGCGAGGTTGCGGCGGCGGCGCGGGCCAGGGGGTGCTGGGCCGTGGACGCGCCGGTCTCGGGCGGGGACGTCGGGGCGAGGGACGGGACGCTGGCGATCCTGGCCGGGGGCGACGAGGGGGTGGTCCACTGGCTGTCGCCGCTGTTCGAGGCGCTCGGGAGGGCGACGTGGATGGGGCCGGCGGGAAGCGGGCAGAGCAGCAAGATCGCGAATCAGATCACGATCGGTGGCACCATCGTGGGGCTCAGCGAGGCGATAGTGTTCGCGGGGAGGGCGGGGCTGGACGTGCCGCGGTTCTTGGACGCGGTGCGGGGCGGCGCGGCAGGGTCGCGGGCGATGGAGATCTTCGGGGAGAGGATGGCGAGGCGGGACTTCGCACCGGGGGGTTTCGCAGAGTACATGGTGAAGGATTTGGGGATGGGGTTGAGAGGAGGAGAGGACGGTGGGGAAGAGGAGACAGGGAAGGGCGTGGTGTTGCCCGGGGCGGCCTTGTGCCAGCAACTGTATCTGGCGATGGTGGCTAACGGGGATGGGAAGATGGGCGGACAGGGCCTGATCACCGTCATCGAGAGACTCAACGGAAAGCACGCATAGTGAATGCACAAGAAGGTAATGCCTCTGGACTGTGGAAATTGCACGAGACTTGTTCGAGCAATTGACATATTTTCTTTTGTACCGTTTCTCATCAATAAGTATCCCCTGTGGCTTTGCTCGACTTCCATTTCAACAACCACTGTATGTTCAGGTGAAAGATCAAGCGGTGGCCGAACAAAATATGTTAAATGTTATCGACATCACACTACCACATCCGCAGTTCTAACAGGCTCGCTCTCGAACACCTTCTCTGCACACACTATCGCACGGGTGTATGAGTTGTCGCTCTACATTGATGTGGCATTGCGTAGAACATCGACAGAAGAAACGCGACGGAACAAAGGCCTCTAAAAACAAATGAGAACTCTCTACATCCTAAGACGCCACTGTCAGCTCTTTCTGGTTGCTACTTGGAGAGGTCAAATGGCCGGTGGGGGCGACCTGCTCAGCCAGAATCGCTCCTTCCTTCGTCATATGATCCCACTTGCCTTGAATGAGATAGATGAAGGCAAAGAGGGAGACCTCTGTAGTGAACAGGACAACCCACGGTCTCACACTCCTTGAGGTCCTCTCATGGAAGGCATGTAAGCCGACGTAGACGTTCGCGATGCCCAGTACACAAACTCCAGTCCCAAGCAGCCAATGCACGAAGTACCAGGCGCTCCTCATCTTTATGCCCCTGAGAAGAAATCATCCTCATCTACGTAACGTGATCCACTTGCACAGCTGCTAAGCTTTGAGATTGGGCGAGAATGGTATCAATACGTACATACACACGCACCTGTGAGGCCTGAAGAAGGCTATGATCGGTTGTATCCAAATGAAAGCGTATACTGCTAACCCTATCCTCTGATGGGTGTTGTCGAAGGAGTTCTCAAAGTTGATCAGTGATAGAACTGCTGCAGCAGTAGCCAACAGGATTGCCATAATCTGTCAGTGCAATATGTTGAACTTTTTATTTCTTTGGTAATTCAGCATCTGGGAGAACAGTTTGTTTGCTCACCTGAACAATGAGGTGGGCATAGAACAGAACCTTGAGCCTTTTGATGCATTCAACTCTGTGCGACATCCTGATGATGATGATTCCAACAGGCATTAAGAAACCAACCGAAGCCCAGAGCAGGAATGCATGAACTCCGATCTGGAATGAGAGTTCAGGTGTCAGCTGCACAAATGGCAAAGAAGATGGATGAGCCGAGTGTGTCTTCATCTTCTGTTTAGCCGGAAACAAGAGGAGTGTCATAGCATACCTGGAGAGGATTCGGCTGGCTGATCCTGTGGGTTTGAACCAATTTGGGTGTCTCTCTGGATGATCCCAGGGATGGAAGAAGAGAAGCAGCCATAGAACTTCCAAGCACCATAACAATTGCATGTCTTCCTGAAGCTAACATTTCCTGTTTCCTTGATAGAGCAAGGAGGAAGAATGCACTCTGCTCCTGGAATTCCTATCGACCTTGTCCTTGATGCAGACAGACCGTAGAAGGCTTACTTGCGAAGAAAAAGATAAAGCAGCAAAACAAAGACCTACATGGATTCTGCAGAGAACACAACACAGACATATATAATGGATGTTTGCAGCTTCAAAGACCAGCACTGCAAGCAAAGCCAATCTCTTTCCCTTCTTCCTCCCTTTCAGATCAACAAATCAGATAGTTTCCTCTTGCAAGAAATCCCTCACTTCAGATGCATTCTTAGGTCTCTACAATAACATTTGAAACCTTTTAGTTCTCAGTGAGCAACTGCAGTATATCAAGCTGGCGTGAAGGTCAATAAAGGAATCTCAAAGGTGAAGAACCTGTAAGATATCTCTATGCTGGCTAGAGATGGTTGGGTGGTAATGATATGAACAACTTTTTGAATGCATATCAATAAAGTTCATGTGGGGTTGGAGTAAGAAACTCAAATGCCAACTTGTGCATCTTTTCGGTACAATGGTTAGGTCTGTTGAGTGGCAGCAGGAAGCACAGAAAAAAAAAAGCTTGACACTGTTTCTCAAAATCTATTATACGTCAAACAGAATCAACACAAATGCAAGTGGAAGTGGCTGGTGGTGGGTTGCAGGGAAATGAAATCGTGATCTGTTCCTCTTTCTGACAGTCCACACTACCAAGTAGTGCTCAAGTATCATGCTCCTTTGGAACTTTTATCTCTAAGTAGTTGCCTCATAAGAGTCTAATATTCTGGTGATGTCAAGATGTTGTAAGTGCTGCATCTTTGTGGCTGAGCAGCTTAGAATCCATGTACCTTAGGAATTCTAGATAAAAATTCTGTGAGGGTACCACCCACCACTAAGAATTATTCTTTCCTATGGAAGATTATATAGTGGGAAAGATTGTAATGAAGTGCTTACATGGATTTCTGACTCCATCATTGGCTGTGTTTCTAATTGTGCTCTTATTGAAATATCACCTTCAAGGTGGTCAAACCTCAGGAGACATAACTTTTACCATGTCAGGAATGGGGTCCTCAAACTTCAGTGCATGAATGCTCTGCTTACAAATTCTTTATTGAATAGCTTTTTGTTAGAAATCCATGCAATCAATCATGATCATGAGTATGATGAAATAACAGAGAACTTAAAGAATGCTACAGTGTTTGTATCCCAAATACACTTTAGCTTACACTCTCTAAACCTTGCCCTCTTAGTGCCTATTGAGAGGATGGCCGATGATGATGGAAGAAGGCATTAGAAGGCAAAAAGAGCAGCTAAACTACAACTTGTGTGATTCTACAAATATAATATTCATATGAGGAATGATACAAATCTCAGACGTTATTCCATGCAGGATTTGCCTTTAGACCAACACTCAATATCTAGAAGCCTAATGATGACAAGACGAAGAAGGCAGGAGAACAGCTATAAATCCACCAACCTCCTATGATCTTTCTCGAGCTAAACAAATGTCAACCTTATCACTTGAACACAAGAGACCCCACTACATACCTTTCTTGCAGTGCTGAAGATGACAGCCCACATGCTTGACTTCCATGTATAATCCACATGCCTTTATCGCACCTTCTTCTCCTGGAAGTTAATTAAGAGTTAGACAAGACCATTGTAGCATATAATCGATTGTAAGATAATTGCAGAGGCAAGAGTTCATCTGAAGCATAATGATGATCTGGGTTCCTTATTAACAACCATCAGCATCACTTGTTCTGGGTGCAAGTTCTCACGGATCTCATCTCACTGCTTTCTCCTGAGAAAACCATGGGAGTGGTTGCCTGTTTTGCTGTAAAGAAAGGAGGTCAAGCTAAAGAGGAATCTGGTAAGAATATTTAATGACATAGCCTTTGCCCAGACAGAGACATGTACTCAAGTCATAATCTTTTGATAACCTGAGTGAGAATGAAAGCAAATGCAAAAAAGCCTTTTGTATGCTTAAAAGCTCCATGATATCATTTTCCTACTTTGTTGTCTTAACATAGTAATTATATGAAATGATTTCCAGTATGTACTTGAAGTTCTTTGATAAAGTTTGTCCCTGTGATACCTTCCACATGTCTTATGGTATATAAATAATTCATCCTTAAAAGAAACAAGTGCGAGCATATACATGATTATATAACAGGCAAACAATTCACCCAGCTCTACAGATTTCTGATATAGTTGCAAAAATTAAATGCACCAAAGACAAAAAATTTGAATTGGCCTTATGAGAATAAAAAAAAGATACAAACTCGTTCCTCAGATTTTTTGGTTGAGATGTTCACAGGTTACTTCAAATCTGTAAGACAACCAACCAAAGATAGGAAAGCCAGTGCACAAGGCCCTCACCAATGCTAAAGGATCAGTATATGCAGCTTTAACTCTATAAAGAGAGAGTTTCCAAAATTCGAAGGAAAGACAAGAAAGCTATACAGAAATTGAAAATGCCAGAAACTTCACTTCAAAAAATTATAATTATGATAGGACTTCCATCAAAAGAACATAAAGAGATGATAGAAGAATTGATCTTATAAAGTCATCCCGCTGAGTTAACTACTCATTATTCAGATGAAATAAGTTACAGCAAAAGGTTCTCTTTTGGAAAAAACAAAAGCAAAAAAAAGTTACAGCAAAAGGTTCGCTGCTTTACTGGGTGTTCTTATTGCATGTTATAGACCCATTACATCTATATAATTATTTCTAATTATGGGTTTCTGGATCACTACCATTTTCTGTAACAAGTACATGGTTCCAATGTAAGCAGAATGGATGACATACTCTGATATTGCTAAACCTCTAGCAGAAACAATGAGCAATCTCCAAAAGATGAAATCAGGTACAATTGGTCAGTGAGCCTCAGTCATCCTTCTGTCATCTCATCATCAAATATGTTCTTCGTCTCTGGTGGCACAAAACAATTAGTAAGAATGGCAACTTTGTTTGGTTGGAGCACAAAGATGGCAAGCCCTCAGACCTGTGAAGTGTTTCACGAGGAAGAAGAAAATGACAAGATTCAACTGTTGCATCAAATAGAAAGATGCCATATTCCTTTGTGCTGATAACGAACAATGGTTCACCTACATAACATCAGTGCCCGCCTTCACAAAGTGTGCATGCTGCCTTCATGTACAATGGATCAAAACTGCAAGGATGCCAAAATGAAAGCTACCACCAAAATATGTTTGCATTATTAGTCGTAAGGTTAATCTCTATTTAAAGGTGCATCCAAAAAAGAAGGTTTCAGCACGATCAACCAATGATGATATGTGAAGCTATGACTAGGGTACGTTTGAAGGGATGTGTGTCCATGGGAAAGACAAGTTTGACATGATGATCGACAGTCGGACAATTATAATGATAAAAGAAAGAAGTAAAGCATGGGCACAAGGCTCCCTGTGTTATGGACCCATATCGCTCACGCAAGTCATCGGGGGTCTCACCCCATAACCACAAATGAAGTAAAATTTGTAATAATATTTTACAGTAATAAAGGGAAAAAAAAAAAAAAAACACAGATAGTCCACAGAGGCAAAATATGCAAACAGTGTGTGCTTCACTCTTTTCCTTCTTTTACAAGTTCTCAAGGAAACTATTACCACTACACTATCGCATCGATTATGGACCATAATAATATATCATTAATCTCCTAGGCCTTTGTCAATTTCTTATTGCTTTAGACTTGCCCAGACTCTTAAAGTGGAACAGATATCATGTCATACTTGAAATCTTGAATGGATTGTTGCTCTGTAAATAGGTTACTGTTTGTTATTTATTGTTTTAAATTGATCATGTATTTACTATTTGATGCTTACTTATATATAGATATATTTGGGATTGTCACTAAAAACTAATTATAGCTTAATGCCACATATGCATTGCATAAAAGTGCCACATTGTAGAACATTGTGATAAGCAAAGTGACATGCTAATTATGTTATTAACAAAAATTCTCTCACAGGGAAGAAGAATCAACCCAAGTTTAGACTGTCTCCCAAGAGAGTAATCAACAGAAGAAAATAATTCCCGAGAGTAAAATAAAGGGCAAGATATGATAAATCGAGAAGCATAATACAATAAAAATAAAAACATGTTAAAAGAACAATTAAGAGTTCCTTATCTATGAATTAGAAGGGGTAATTTTTATTTATTCATATGCTTCAGTTCTATATATTTCCAGTATCCAGTCGAGAGCTGTAAATGATAAGCAGCCTATACAGGCAGCTTTTTATTTCCATCGTATGCGTGGGTACATATGCGGCACGTTCCCAAGTAAAGTGAAAGCAATTACATTGTATCTGAATATTCTGTTATTACGATTTCACGCATTCGCAATCATTCCAACACAATCCTCTCCACAAGTCCGTAGAATCATTTAAAGAGGTAAACATAAGATCGAACAGTTGGCATGCATTACTAACAACCACTAAACTTTCACATTTTAGCTCCAAGATTTAACATAACTTCTTGGCCTGTTTTACTTAGGCATAAACACCGCTCAGGGAGTAATAGGAAATTCTGAAGGAGCACAATTCTGTTCAACACCAACAAAAGAAACAGGTAAAGCAGGAGGAGGGAAGAACAAATGGAGGCAAATAACAGTTACCGCAAGGATACCACGCCCAGTCTCCTTCCACCAGCTCCTATACTTCCTTGGGCCACACCTTCTCCGGCTCCCCATGAACAAGAAACAGTCAAGAACGAAGGGGAGATTGCTGAGAGGGTGGAGTCGAGGAAAGAGGAGGAAGGTTGGCGCGAACATGAAGAACGAGGAGGAGCTTGGCTTCATACAAACATAACCCGAATCCGCTAATGTCATTTCGGATCGAAACGTCGGATCAGGATTAATTAAGAGAATAATCCGAATCCGATAATCTCATATCGGATCAAAATTAGTCACCGTGAATGAGATGTAGAAAATCCATTTCTCTAACCCGAGATGTAAACGGAAACGTCGGGCCAAGCCAGCCTTTTATAGCGAAGCATCGACCCGGTCTCGATGTCGCGCAGCTGTGTGGGTTCGGCTTCTCGGCTTTCCAAGGCTTCTAGCGCCACAAGGAGAGAGAGAGAGAGAGAGTCTATTCTTGGCGTCCTTTTCCTTGGCCCCTCTTACCCAACTTCTCTTCCTCTTCGAGAGAGATCTACGATCTAGGGTTTTCCGCCGATCCACTTGGCCGGAACCCTAGCCATGACGTCCGTCTCCGTTGCCGGGGAGTGGCAGCTCCTCTACAACCGCTTCTACCGTAAGCTAACCATCTACACGATGCAGTGGGGCCGCATCGACCTCTCCCGCCACCGTATCGCCGCTGCACCCTTTGGCGGCCCCGTCGCGGCCATCCGCGACGATTCCAAGATTGTCCAGCTCTACGCCGAGTCCGCCCGCCGCAAGCTCCTCATCTTCAACGCCGCCGGTCGCGCCCTCGCCTCCGCCATCTGGGACCGCCCAGGCGGCCGCCTCGTCGGCATGGCCTGGACCGATGATCAGGTCCTCGTCTGCGTTGTCCAGGACGGCACCGTCTACCGCTATAACGTCCACGCGGAGCTCTGCGCCCCCCAGTTCTCCATGGGGAAGGAATGTTTCGAGCAGGGCGTCGTGGATTGCGTCTTTTGGGGGAACGGCATGGTGTGCATCACCGAGGGGTTCCTGATCTTCTGCGTCCCGGACTTCAAGAATCCGGTGCCGTGCAGGCTCTCTGATCCAGGGATCGATGAGTATCCGCTGTGCGTGGCGGTGATCGATCCGCAATACACGATGTCCGGGAACGTGGAGGTGCTGCTCGGGGTGGGGGATCACGTGCTGCTGGTGGAGGAGGATGGGGTGCAGCAGCTGGGGGTCGGAGTTGGGCCTTTCCAGAAAATGGCTGTCTCTCAGAATGGGAAGTATCTCGCAACATTCACACATGATGGCCGGCTTCTGGTCATTTTGACGGATTTCTCCAAAATCATCTTTGAATACACCTGCGAGGTCAGTTGATGTTTGTGCTCTGACCATCTTCCTTATTTCTCTGTAGCATACCCATCTGTCATTATTCTAGTCAAGGATTCAGAACTAGTACAACCCCATTTCTGAACCTGTGATCGGATTGCTATTGTAACTGTATCAGCATATAACAAGAAATCCATCCTTCTTCATTCTGAAGACAGCATCATATTTTAATCTTGATGTGGCCTAGCATTCTGAAGATAGTATCAGAACTAGTACTACCCTAGGTTTGGGCGTCATATTAGGTTTACTTTTGTGTCATCTAGTATCTAGATCAAACCATTTAATTCGAATGAGGCTTTTCATTTGTTCTTTCTTTTCCTGGAGATTTGAAGTTCATTATATTTTTTTAGGCAACTCTTCTACTTGTTGGTTTGGAATCATTATTGAGTAGAATTAATGAGATGAGTCCTAGTTTATTCACATACTTTGTCAGGATGCTTTTGAATCATTAGGACGTTCAGTAAGACCCTAGTTACTCTAGAAATACTTAAATTGTTTCTTATGGGCAGCAAATTCTA